CACATGGAAGATTTCCCATCTTTCTCTCATGGAGCAACTTGTCTTTGGGTTGGCAGCTCAACTCCTTACCCAGGCAACCTCACCAGAATTTAGAGATCATCTTAGAAATAGATTTTATGTATTGAAAGACTAGATGAATTGTAGGATGACATCAAGGACATCATACTTGAAGAAAACAAAAGGTTATTAAAATGACAGAAGAATAAGTAAAATCAAAGTGAATGTCAGAAGACTTTCTGAAACTGCTTTTGAATGTAAAGAAAAATTGATGGCTTTGAATTCTGGGACTGACAGAAGATAGAACAAATATTTATTGGAAAAAAGTCCATCCAGAAAGTTCCATAGAAATTGAAAATGGTAAATCTTCATCTCGCATACTGGAGAAGTCCCTGGAGAAGAACATCATGAAGCAGAGGATCAGCAAAAAAGAGAAAAACTTGTTTGCTTTCTGCTCTGAAGGGAGTCCTTGTCTCATTTGGACCTCTACTCCTGGATGATCTTCATGTGGAAAACAAAAGCCTGGGAAAGATTTGTCTTTCTAAAGGTTTATCTGTACCAATTCTGGGAATGGTAGGCACAATTTGTCCTCTTTGTCCGTGGTTTTCTCCCAAAACATTTTTAACCATCACTGGGTAAGAGAAGGTACCAGGACGAGGAAATTCTTGGCTGTGCTGTTAACACCTGTCAGTTTCTTCCTGTGATGCTTCTGCATATGGTATTGAGGGGTGGAACACTGGGAGGAATTAGACCACAATTATCAATAAGTTTCTGTTCTGGTTTGGACTTTAAGAGTGGCAGATCACTAATGATATACCTTATTTCTTTTCTCTTCTGATTCTGGCTTGAATTTCTGGCAATTTCTTTTCATTATACCGCAGCAACAATTTCTGAATTTCACTTGATATGGTATTAATGATACTGTTGGACAATTGTTGTGTTCTTTTGGATCATCTTTCTTAGAAATGTCTATAAATATGGATCTGTTGCACTCAGTTGATCAAGTAGGTACTTGCATTCTATACTATTTTAGTATAGAATTTCTTTATGGCTTATTTTGCCCTTTGTTATCATTGTTGTTATGTGCCATCAAGTCACCTGGAACTCATAGCGACCCTATGTACATTAGTTCTGAAAGCTGCCCTATCCTGAGCCAATCTCATTATCTCTGACAGACCTAACCCCATTTCTCCATTCACTGAGTCAATCCATCCCGTCCTGGATCTTCCACTCCTGCACTGTCCTTCCACACTTCCAAGCATGATGTCCCTCTCCAAAGACTGGTCCCTCCTGGCCAAGTGCTCAAAGTATGCGAGACAGAGCCTGAAAGCCTTTGCCTACAGGGAGCATCCTGGTTTCATCCTCTCCAGGACAAAACTGTTCTCCCGGCAGTCCATAGTATGCTTAACTCTTCTCCAGCACCACAACTTAAAGGAATCAATCCTTCTTCTGTCATCCTTAGTTATTATTATTATTATTATCCAGCTCTTGTTAACATAGTAAATAATTGTGAAGACTATGGCCTGGATCAGGTGCACCTTAATTGCCACATCTTTGCTCTTCAGTACTGTAGAGAAGTCTCTGACAGCAGAATTTCCCAATACAGTTCATCTTTTTTTTAATACAGTTCATCTTTTGATTTCCTGACTGCTGGTGTCAGGAGTGTTGATGGTGGAACCAAGCAAGCTGAAGTTATTAACAATCTCAATTTTTTTCATCCCCCATAAAGCTGCTAATTGACCCAGAGATAAGAATCTTTATCTTCTTCAATCTATATTGAAGACTACAGTCTATAACCTTTTGAAGCAAACACCACATGTCCTCTTCACTTTCAGCAAGCAAGGTTGTGTCATCTGCTTAATGCAGGTTGTTAATGAGTCTTCCTCCAATCCTGATGCCACATTCCTCCTCATCAATTCCAGCCTCCCAAATGATCTATTCTGCATTCAGATTGAAAAGGTATGAAGACAGGTTGCACTCCTGACAACACTCTTCTTGTGATTTTGAACCATACAGTGTTTCCTTGCTCATTTCTGAGGACAGCTCTTTGTTCTTTTATTCTTTCGGATTATTTACATGACGAAAAGCCTTGGAAGACAGGTAAGTAGAATCAGCTCTAGCGTAGTGCTGTTGTTATTGTTGTTGTGAACTCCATTCTCATCATACATGCAGAGTAGAACTACTTCACAGAGCTTTCAAAAGAAAATCACTAGGCATGTCTTCTTGTTCTTCAAGGTGGTTTGAGCCACCAACTTTTCAACTAATAGTTGATCCTGTGTCATCATCACCTCAACCCTCTCCAGACCTATTGCAGTCTGACAGGCAAGGGGGAGGATGAGGCGAGGGCCTGTGGCAGAGGCTCACACAGAGCTGACCTCTGGAACCTTGGAAGCAAGGGTGCAGCTCTGGCCGTGACACGTGCAGGTGGTAGCTGTTTTCGCAGTCCAGTATGTGCCCTCATAGAGCTGGACTGCACAGCTGATCATGCTTCAATTTTCTAATAATCTCACAGAACTAGAACATGCAAGATACCAGTCAAGTACTAGCATGTATCAGCAAGTTTGCCTAATTCTGAGACTTGATGACTTCCATTACCAAGGCTTGGTTTTAATCTTCTTAAAAATAGATCAGGATAGTTTCTTCACTCAAATTGCTTCAGTCTCTAAGGATTGGCTGCTCCACTTCCTAGGCTAGTGAGAAATGCTTGATGATATTTGCCAACATATTTCTTATGAGCCATTTCTGTTAGAATATAACAGTATACTTTTGGGAATTAGATTTTATACATCAAACTAAAAAACTCATTGCTATAGACAGTTGGTTTCTGAGGCTCTAAAATGTGTGGGAGGAGATTTTCCATTTTTTTCTCTTTGAGTGGCTAAATGGATTTGAACTGCCAGAGAAGTGTGGCAGCACAGCTTATTATGGATTATTCCACTAGATCTCCCTGTACACATACAGGTCATTGGAATTTTTTAGGAAATGAGAGAGCTGAAATATTTCCAAATCGAAGTTAGAAATGGTTTTAAACCCTTAACCTCATGATCAATCAGCAAAACAAAATAAGAAATATATTTTTAAAAGAGCTATATCCAAGCCATGGTCTTCTCAATTACTTACTTGCTGTGCATCAGAGAATTGGACAATGACTAAAGATGACAGAAGAATCAATGCCTTTGAGTTGTGGTGCTGGAGAAGAATATTGAACAGACCATGGCCTGCCAAAAAATGAACAAGTCTGTCCTGGAGAGGATGAAACCATGTTGTTCCTTGGAGAGAGGTATTTTTAGAAGCTTCATCTCACGAACTTTGGGCATGTTGCCAGAAGGGACAAGTTTTTTGAGAAAGACATCATACTTGGAAGGGTGGAGAGTCAGTGCAGGAGAGAAACTCCCTGGATGAGATGGATTGACAGTAATTGTGGCAAAGGGGACAAATGTGTAAGAGTCTGAAATTAGCTCAGGATAGGGCAGAGTTCAGAGCTATTGTTCTTAGGATCACTATGAGTTATAGTTGACTTGACGATATATAACAACAACAGGTTGCTTTGGATGAAAATTGATGCATACTTTTTCTTATACAGTGTTGACAATGGGGAAAGGAAATATTTGCTTACATGTAATTCTTTTCACTCATGAATACACCTGTGGTGTATTCAAGACTGGAAACAAATAGAAAGTAGTTTTTGTATGGTTTGGTCTGATTTTTTTTAAAGATCCAGACATCTTTGGTGCCATTTGTGATGAGGCAAACACACTGTCTTGGATAGGTCAGGTCAACATGCTATTTGCTCTTGCAAATATATTTTGTATCTTGAAAATTTGCAACCTCTTAAAGGAAATTCTAAAATATTATTATAAATATGCCAGCAGTTCTCACTTTATCCCTCCTTCTTGTACATAAAAAACGATAAATAAGTAAAATAGGGAGTATTTATCACTTATCACTAGTTACTCTACTCTTCCTTTGAGAGTATAAGTGCCTATTTTACAGGATTTTGTTTCCATAACCATTTAGTACAATCGAAGGAGACTTACTGCCACAATGGTTAAAGCATTTGACTACTAACCAAATGGTTCGCCACTGGAAAAAGTTGAGGCAGTCTAAAAAAATATTTTTTTTTCTTGGAAACTCTGTGGGGCAGTTCTACTCTGTTGCTATGGATTTGACCCACCAGCAGTGGATGGGTTAGTATAATTGCAGTCTTGCCTTTAAAAGTAACAAAAACAATGTGGAGCAGTGGTTGATGAGAAGAAAATTTTTAAAAAAAATCCAAAATAATGAAATGACTCAGCCCTGAATGGAATGGGAAGGAGGAGTTAGTGTGAATAAGAATAAAGGTGATAGTAGTCCTGTTAGGAAAGGAGTTTTATTAGTGAATGTTGACTAAAGATAGGAGAGAGCTAAATTGCAGATTAAAATGTGGAATGAGTAACACAGAGTTTCAGGTTTCAATTTTCATATCATTGAAAAAATCAAGGAAGAACAAAAATGTTCAAAAATAGGTGTATGATGACAAAAGATAAATGTTTTTTTTTTATTTGACACAGGCATTCTTTCTTAAGCCTCATCATCTTTTCTTTGAACCAGTTTTTTTTTTCCTGTTTTTGAGATTTTTTATCTTTTTTTCTTCTTTTCCCCCCTCTTTCTTTTCTTTTTTTATTAATTTCAATGAACATCTGCAGAGATTTTGAAATTCCATTCATTAAAAAAATGGAACGCTTCATGAATTTGCGTGTAATCCTTGCGCAGGGGCCATGCTAATCTTCTGTGTATCGTTCCAATTTTAGTATATGTGCTGCCAAACGGAGCACTTGAACTAGTTTTGTAAATGAAGTTGAACCTACTCTCACAAGATTTTGCTGTGTCTTATTTGAAAGGGTTTAAAATACTCTACAAAGATCCCCATGTTCATCTTGAAAACATAACAGACTTTTAAAAACAGCCATAATCAGAGAAGAAAGGAAAATATTGATGTTTACCTTGCTTTTGTTTTGTCACAGAAAACTTTACCACGATTCCATGCAAGGCTCCACCTCCTCCAAAAATAGAAAGGAAATTTCCACCTTATACCGGCTTTGGTTCTGAAGAGGATTCTCTCCGCTCCTGCATAGGTCTAATGCCCACAGCTCATCGGAGGGACTTCAAGAAATTCATGGAAAAAGACAGGTACATGATTTTAGTTCAATCGTTCCCTAGTAGGTTTTAGTTTATAATATACTTCTTGGTTTGTTTGGTGTGGGTTTTTTTTTTTCCGAGGTCTTTCCCCCGTTTTTTATTGAGATTTTATTTTAGGTTTACAAAAAACTTGGATTTCCATTCATTCATTGTTGCACATTTTCCTCCCTGTCTCCCCTCCCTCCCCCCGTTCGCTTTATCCTTTGGAAAAAAAAGTTCTTTCATTGTTATACAGTCTACCCTCCAAGACCACTTTACTATGTAGTTCTTATTATGGACTCTTGTCAGACCAGTAATACCTAATCATATATTCCCTTTTTCCCCCCGTTATGTCCCTTTTATTGATTGCTCAAAACACATAAGCACAAAATATCAGTTTCACAAGCATTCAGCCAAACAATATATCCACAAGTATGAGATGACACCAGGGAAGTAGTGAGCATTTAGAACACTCAACCAGACAATATCATAAGTGTACCATTTGTACAAGGATAAAACTCAGAAGGTAGGAAGGGAAGGGATGAAAGAAAGAACCACAGAGAGGTCTGTAAGGGGGGGAGGAAATGGTTACCATAACCAGATTAGTGGGGATTAAGCATTTCTGAGTTCATAACAAAATTGCAGGGAAGACAAACAATAAAAAAAAAATGACACCAAAGACTAATGCAGGATGATTATACTGGACAGAACAGGTTAAGATCTGTTGTTCACAGGGTTGCTATGAATTGTATTTGCTTCAGCAGCAACTAACAACAGCAACAGCACAAGTAAGATATTAATATTGGAGTAAAGTGAGGAGAGTAGGAAGTAGACTGTCTTATTCTTTGGAGAGAATGATTGATGGTAATAGTGGGTGGAAAGATATTAGAGGACCACGATAGTTACAACAAAGAGTTCTGGCATTATACAATAATGGAATATTTCCAAATTTTATTTAAATGTTGCCTAAACATTACTTTAAAGAACAGGGAAATGATATTAAATTGGTGTTACATTTAAATAATTATTTAATTTATTTGAATTCATATATTCCTTTTATACAGTTCTCACCCTCATCTGTTTCAGTGCAATGTGCATTATTTATCCCCTCCTTTCTTAGTTTCCGCCTCCCAACCCCCATGTCAATCCTGTTTTATAACAGTGGCATTATTCCTCTTTTTGTGACTGAGATATTTCACTCAGGATAATGTCCTCCAGTGACACTCATTTATTCCATTGTGTTAATATACCACAGCTTCTCTATCCGTTTGTTTATTGATGAGCATTTGGGTTGTTTCACACTCATTGCTACTGTGAACAAAGCAGCAATAAACGTGGATTTGCATATATCTGATTGAATGGCAGTTCTAGTTTCTTTAGGGTATATTCCCAGTAGTGGAATTACTGGGTCAAATGGTATTTCTGTTTCCAACTTTTTGAGAAAGCATCATACAGCCTTACCTAGTGGTTACACCATTTTACACTCCCACCAGCAGTGAATAAGGGTTCCAGTTTCTCCACAACCTCACCAGCATTTGTTGTTTGCTTCTCTTGAATTTTGCTATTCTTACTGGAGTGAGATTACATAGTTGTTTTGAGTTTATAATATAGTTCTTGTGACAAAGCAGTTAGCACTCAAGTTACCTAATTTCCAATCCAAGGAAACTTTCTTAGAACATTCTAAAATGTTGGAAATGAATACTTGAAAGTCTATCACCATGTTTTTACTCCTGGGCTTATTTTAGTAATTGTGATCTGAAAATCCCAAAAGCTATATTATACCCAATCTATGTTATTTATCCCTCAGGATGGTCACTAGAAAACGGTATAGAACATAGCTTAACAAATCATTTGTTAAGAGGACAAAAACAACAAGCCAGAAAACCAAATAAAAACAAATCCCCAAACTCACTGCTATTAAGTCCGGAGGAGATGCTCATCTTTCTCTTCTACAGCAGGTGATGAATATGAATTGCAAACCTTTCAGTTAGCAGCTTGTGTTATGCCACTAGGTCTTTCTTTTTTTTTTTTCTTCACTAGTTTATTTACAAATATAGTAAATATTTTAGTCTTTGCAGGCCGTACAGCTCTGTCACTCAATTCTGCTGTTATAGCGAGAAAGCAGCCAGAATTCAACAACAACAATAACAAAAACCCCCCAAAACCCCACACATCAACAAATACATAATTGTGATCCAATGAAATGCTTTTCTAGACATTGACATTTGAATTTTGCATAACTTTAAAAAAAAACCTAGTAAAAACTGAACTTTATTATCTTTAATTGCTATTTTTATAAATATTCCTCTTCAAATATACTAGTCTACTCATTCTTATAAAAAACATCTAAACATCTGATGTGTTATTTCTCTATGCCTTTTAACCGTTCTAATATTTTAGTCATTTGCATATAATAATTAATTGTGTTTGATGCATGTACAATGTATTTTATACAATCTTTCATTTGCATGATGGCTTGTTAATGTTATTGTTGTATGCCATCAAGTCAGACCTGACCCACAGCTGACCCTCCAGTGGGTTTCCAGAGGCAGTAACCACACAGAAAGAGATTGCTCATCTTTCTCCCATGGAGCAGCTGGTGGATTAGAACTTTATGCCTTTGGGATTACAATACAGATTCTTACCACTAAGCCACCAAAACTTCGGTCATTCATATGTTGTTATGTGCTGTTGAGTTGCCTATGACTCATAGAGACCCTATGTACAAAAGCCCTAAATCCTGCTCTATCCGGTGCCAATCTTATTGTCTCTGACACATTACTCCAGTCACTGAATCAATCCATCTCAGCAAGGTTCTTTCTCTCTTCCAAGGGTGTCCTTCCATCCTCCCAAGAATGATACTCCTCTCCAAGGACTGGTCCCACCTTGCAAGATGTCCAATGTATGTCAGACGAAGCTTCAGAATCCTTGCCTCCAGGGAGCAGCCTGCTTTCACCCTCTCCAGGACAAACTGTTTTTCCATTCAGTATTCTTCTCCAGCACCACAGCTCAAAGGCATCAGTTCTCCTTCTATCATCCCTAGTCATTGTCCAGCTCTCTGATGCATAGCAAAGACCATGGCCTGTATCATACTGACATCATTGCTCTTCAATACTTTGGAGAGATCTCTGACAGCAGACTTTCTTAATGCAATTTGTCATTTAATTTCCTGGCTGCTGTTGCCAAGAGTGTTGATTGTGGAGCCAAGTAAACTAAAGCTGTTAATAATCTCAGTCTCTTTACCATCTATCATGATGCTACCAATCAGCCCAATGGTGAGAATCTTTGTTTTATTGATATTGAGCTTCAATCCATATTGAAGGTTACAGTCCTTGACCTTCTGCAACAAGCACTTCAGTTCCTCCTCAGTTTCAGCAAGCAGGATTATGTCATCTACATAATGCAGATTGTTGATGAGTCTTGATCCAATCCTGATGCCACATTTCTCCTCATAGAGCCCAGCTTCCCGGATAATCTGTACTGCATATAGATTGATGAGGTATGGAGATAGGATACATCCCTGGCATACACCCTTCCCAATTTTGATCCATGCAGTGTTTTCTTGTTCTGTTCTGACCACTACCTCCTGGTTCAAGTATAGGTTTCACATAAGCACAATCAAGTGTTCTGGGATTCCCATTCTTCTTAGAGTTAGCCACAGTTTGTTGTGATCCACACAGTTGAACACCTTTGCATAATCAATGAAATATAAATAGACATTCCTCTAGTACTCCCTGCTTTCAGCCAAGTCCATTTAACATTAGCTATAATATCTGTCTGTCAGATACTCCTCTAAATCTAAACATTCAGATTAAGACAGACTAGGAAGAAGGATTGGCCATCCACTTCTGAAATGGCAGGCCTCTGAAAACCCTATGTACAACACAACACACATAGACGAACAGAAAGGGCAACCTAGGCAGAACTATCAAGCATGGAAATACAAAGGAAGAGGAACAGTTGTAAGCAGACACTAGTGATTGGAACATGGAATGTGAGAACCATGAATGTAGGAAAATTAGAAATTGTTAAAAAAGAAATGGAACACATAAATATTGGCACACTAGGCACTGGAGAGATGAGATAGACTGGCATGGGGCATTTCGAGTCAGATGATCATATGATATTTGAGCTGTGGTGCTGGAGAAGAGTATTGAATGTACCATGGACTGCCAAGAAAAAAAAAACCAGATTCATCGTAGAGAGGATTAAACCAGTCTGCTCCTTGGAGGCAAGGATTCTGGGGCTTCATCTGACATACTTTGGACATGTTGTAAGGAGAGACAGGTCTTTAGAGAGGGACATCATGCTGGGTAGAGTGGAGGGACAGCGCAGGAGGGGAAGACCCTGTATGGGGTGGATTGATTCAGTGACTGGGGTACTCGGGATGGGTTTGTCAGAGGCAATGAGATTGGCACAGGATAGAGCATGGTTTAGGGCTATTGTACATAGGGTCGCTATGAGTCACAAACGACTCGACAGCACATAACAACAAATAATATCCCTAGTAACTCGGCTTCTTCTAAAACCACCCTGCACTTCTGGCAGTTCTCTGTTAATGTGCTGTTCCAGTAATCAAGTTATCAAGATTTGGATAATCTTCAGAAGAATCTTACTTGCATGTGATGTTAATAACATTGTTCCATAATTTCTGCACTCTGCTGGATCACCTTTCTTTGGCATGAGAACAAATATAGAACTCTTCCAGTCGGTTGTTCAGGTGGTTGTCCTCCAGTTTTCTTGGTACAACGTGGTGAGCATACCTAGGGCACCATGTTTGTTGAAATACATCAACTGGTATACCATCAATTTCTGGGAACTTTTTTCAATTTTTTTAAATTCTATTTTATTAATTTTAATGCACGTTTACAGAGATTTTGGATTTACATTCACTCATTGTTGCACTTTTCTCCCTGCCCACCCCTCCCCTTCAGTTCGCCCTTCTCTTTGAAAAGAAAAAAGATAAATTCCTTCATTAGTATACAATCCCCCCGCCCACGTCCCCCCCCCCC